TTGAAAATTAAATTCAATGGACAAAGAACAGAAGCGACGTGGACGGAAGACCGTCGGAGGCGCTAGTAATAATAAAAAAAAGAAACATCGAAAAGTATTCCAATCCTAGGGAGTAAAGTAACTATTTCTAAGCTTAAATATCAAAAAACACAATTTTTAATGCCATTAATTTAATCAAATCGAGAGTTTAGTAGACGGGTCAGGAATTTTTATGCTTTTTAGAAATTTTGTTTCCGTGCTGAAAGTAAAATAAAATTTTTAACACTAGTGAGTTAAATATAATTTTTTTTAAATTCTGGGGAGTAAAAAAATGGAATAAATTTAATTTGAGAGGAAAAGTAAGAAAATGATCTTAATTTCAATATTAAAGTATAATAAATACCTTTCGCTATCAAATGCATAAATAAATACATTTACATTAGCAAATACCTGCTCCGATGCCTAAAAAGTAAGAACTCGTCCCATAATTTGTCACGTGACAAGGTAAACTCGATTTCACAGACCACCTGCAGACTAAACGACGTCTTTTATTGCTGATTATCTTGAATTCATGCGACTACGTATATATATACTATATAATCAACTGGAAGCTCTGATTCCCACTTTGACATGAGAGATTCATAATATAACTTTCATGAAAACTATTTTTCTCCACTTTATAAATATATTATCACTTTCGCGTGACTTGATGGAGATTTGAAAAATTTGCTTTTGCATAAATTTCATTTTTATTGCCTCACGCTAAATTTTTTATTCATCTCCCAATTTACTCATTATAACATGTGATGAGTGAAAAGAAAAATTAAATGCTTTTACTTTTTATGATATATATTTACATTTTGTTATTGTTAGAGTTTATATATTTTATTTTTCAATGTTTCTTTTTGGAATTTTATTTTTTTTTTCGTGGAATTTTATACCATATTTTAGTAATTTGGTAATTTGTATTTCTAACTTTCTAAAACTTTTATGAGGGCGCACGTTGCTTTGAAGAAGAAAGCTTATACAATTATTCCGGAAGGATTCCACGTGTTTAAGGCAGAATTACTGCGAAACTTGAGGGCTTTGGCCTTTTAGACGAAAGGGTTGATGAAACTTGTATAGAATGATTAAACTTGTGTTGTATAAAACGAACATCTAACTCTCGTTGATCATTTGAATTGTTCTCATATGTTTAAGTATATATATATATATAATGATATCCCACGAGATTTCAAATTATTATTATAATTATTAAAATAGTAATGATAATCATTCTATTTTTATTTTATAAATACCTCATTTTTACCTAACACTTATTCTTGAATATAAAAAACATGTAGTACATTCTGTTTGTGATAACAAAATTCGTAGAATTTTAATAATAATAAATAATAATTTTTAAAAATTATTTTATTTTTAAACAAGGTAAACTTAAGAGGTTCTAACCAGTGGCCACTTAAGAACATTTACCCTATTTGTGGTTCCGTCCGGGAATTCTAGACAAACATGTAAAATAAAAAAAAAACAAGTTGTAAATTCAGATGTTCATTATAATAATATGAACATTTTGCTTCCTCTTTACGATCAGCAAAAAAATTTGCTTCCTCGTGGAGAAAGCATTAACATTGAAATAAACATACATAAATAATATAATAATATAAACATTTGAGAATACAAAATTTTTCAGCTAAAATGTGAATTTTTGATTTTTTAACTTTCATTAATTCTTTAAATTTAAATCAAATGTTTACTTTATTATATACCAATCGATTTGTTTTAATGCAAGGAATAAAATTATTTCATATGTACACTTGAATTTCAAAAAACACAAAATTTTATAGGTAAAATGTAAATTTTTGATTTTTTAACTTTCATTAATTTTTTAAATTTAAATCAAATCTATACTTTATATATACTAATCGATTTGTCTTGACGTAAGGAATACGATTTTATTATGTATCACCTTAAGTTTTGCTATTTAAAAATTTTTTGGAAAAAAGACGATACATTTTTTTGGGGGGTATTTTTTAAAATCCTTTCGTTCATTTTGAGATATTAATGTGATAAATAAGCCTACCAAATTTTACCCAAACCCATTAAAACCTGTTAAAGTTATCGTGTTCACAAAAAAGGGGTCCACACATACATACACACACACATCCGGACAATTGATCAGGATCTCATATAACATGTTTCTATATAGAGAAAAATTTGTTTCCGCCATTTTGAAAATTTTTATAAACTAAAGGACTACAAAGCTTCCTCCACGAGGAAGCAATATAAAAAAACTAATATAAAGATTGGTAATTGGTAATTTTACAACAGGTAATGTTAAAATTTAATGCTACTTTTTTATTATACTTGTCAATTATCAAATTTATAATTTAAAGTTATCGGATATTTGACCATTTTATGTTAATAAATTATTATATTTAATGTACTCATTTTTTGGAATATAAAATTCATTTCTAAATGTCTATATGTAATAATTAGACCATTTGTGAACTTAATAATTAAACTACAATTAAAATTTACTTTAATTATAATTAAATTTTGGCTTATTCTTTAATTAATTATTTAATTTGAATTTATACTTGCGAGTTATATATGAGGTATTAAAATTTTTTTTCAATTGTGTGTTTTTACGTGAACTCAAGCAAAAATTTACAACCGGCGCAGTGTTGTGCCAGTACTGGCAAAGTACTGACCGCCAACATTGAACCAATACTGGTCTATGTTTGGGATGATAACGTTTATTAGATAGTAATGGCTTAATACTGGCGTTCAGTACTGGTTCAATACTGGAATTTAGCAGTTATTCTGTATTTTGACAGTACGGGCAAAATTATAGTAACCAGTAATAAGCCAGCACTGGTAGATATTCAAAATTCAGGATTCTTTTTGCTTTTTACATTCATTGAGTAGCTGGATCGAAGAACCGACTCATAGCATTAACTATTAAAAATAATAAATTATTATAATAACTTTTAAATTGTTATTTTTTTATATTAACATTTTACTCTTTATTTTATTATTCAAATAATTTCTTTAAATATTATAAAATATATATTTATTTGTATTTCTTTAAATTACCGAAATTGAATGAAATTATTGGATAAAATAGAGTTTATTTGATTCAAATATATTTTTTCAGTGTAAAAAAAATAATTTGAGAACTTCATTAATTATGTATTTCTTTTATTAGAAAGTTTTAATATTAAATTTAAATTTCATAATTCCGTTAACGAACGCATTGCAGTAATCGAAAAGAAGTATTAAAATAATTTAAAAAAAATATGTATGTAAATTTAATTTCTAACCAACAAAAATACACAATTTTCACGTCTATGAAGTTGGCGTCGACGCTCAACGTCGAAAATTATTTTTCACGGGACCAAAAATAACAAATCATTTTTAAAAAAGTTTTGGGTTCACACAATACCTTAAAAAGTATTTCTTAAGGCATTACATATTGTGAAAAATAATTTTCGGCGCTGAGCGTCAACGCCAACTTCATGGAGGTCATTTTTCATAATTTTTCTGGATACTGGCATTCGGTATATTGAATTAATACTGACCGAGTACTGGTTTGCCATTACTGTCTCAATAATACTGGCACAGTATTGGAAAATACTGGCATGCCGGTATTGGCTTGCAGTATTGGCACAGTACAGAATTTAATCCATATCAGTACTGAACCAATACTGGTAAGCCAACTGTCGGCCAGCCAGTGTTGGTGCATGATTGCGCCTGGTGTCAATATCGACGTTTGACAGAAATTTTTGCTTGGGAATTTTTCGAAAATTTGATGCAAAAAATTCTAGAAAAATAATTTTACTACATTTTTTGCAATTTAAAAATTAAAATTTTACTTTTAAAACTGTATATATCCTTCAATTTCTTTTTCTTTTTTGTAAAATTTTCCAAAAATCTACTTTCTTTAAAAAAAATTTTAAGTCTGGTCCGTTCATGGACAAATGATTTCTTCAAAATTTTTGAAATTTTGAATTTTTTAAAAATATCTACGATTTTGTAAAATTCTCAAAATTTGGAAAAATTCATATCTCGTAAACGGCCTGATAAAAAAAAATTGAAAAAAATCATGAAAGCTAATCTCAATTAGTATTCTAAACGAAAAAAAAGTTTCAAAAAAATCGGAGATTGTAAATGCAAAATGGTGTAAATAAGTATTTTTTTTATGAAGAGAGACAGGAAATATAAACTTTATATACCTGGCATCAGTCTGAACATTGATCGTTTTTCGGTAATTATATCATCGTTGAAATTACAATTTATCGATCGAAATTTCGGTGTGTCGACCCCTGCTATTAAGAAAATTAATTAGGTTATAGTTAAATTGACGACAATTATAGACCTTCTGGATTCGTTGATAGTTTCTCCATTAAATTGCATTGATTACCTCTCATCTCGTATACTAGAAAAAAAACAATAAAAAAACAAAATTAGCGTTTATCATATATCTTCATTAACAAAATTAATTTCATATTTTCTCTCTTTTTATTGCGTTGAAAAATTGCGAATTTCATTTTTAATATGTGCGTCTAGAATTGTGAAAAATTAAATTAAAAAGTTTTTCCGACAAAAAGTGGTTAGCGACATTTACTAACAAAAATTTCATTTTATTTGGTATTTAAAGAGGTTTAGGGGTTGTTTAATAATAATCTAAAATCAGATTTTGAAAACTTATGTCGAGTAATGTTTTCCTTAAAAACTAATTCACCACACTAGATAGATAATTTTTTTTTCTTTTGCAAATTTGATAAATTATTTTTAAAAAAAACCTCGTTCGGCATATTTAATCTGACATTTAAAATTTTTTATAATAAAAAATAAAAAATTAAAAATTAATCAATATATTTAAAAAAAATACATATTTCACTCTATAGTAATTTATACCTATTAACTCGCCTATTAAGAATAAAAGATTATTTAATCGTAAATTGTTTTTATTTTTTGCGTAATACATTTTTAACTGGTTATTCAATTCTTTGTTACAGATTATGCTTAGGAGATTGTTTGATCCGTCGAGATCGTTGCTTTTAGCAACAATACTCTGTGTCATTCGTCGCTCTGTTGCATCTCCCTTTGAGAATAAAACTGGTGAGTTCAAAAAAAAAAAAAATCTTCAAAGGAATGACGCATATTTTAAAAACACCTCACCCCCCTTTTATTTTCTGACAAAACGTAACACAGATATGAAAGAATTTTTTTTTTCAATTTAACTGAAAAATTTTACTCTTCACTAAATTCCACTGTCCAGTACATTTCAAAATGGATTCAAACATTGAAATAGTACTTTTCTCATATACATACAAAAATTTTTTGAATGTTTAAATTTAAATATAAAAAGTTAATTCACACACAAATTTTTATCATAGATAAAAAAAAACATAATCATAATTATTAAATTAAATTTTTATAATCATTATTTAAATATCAACAAACAGTAAATCTCAACTCTGAATAATATTATCTAGTTTAGATCTAGATATAAGATAATACTGATAAGATATTTTATCTAATAATCTAGATAATATTATTTAAGTAGGATAATAGTATCTAGATAAGATAATTTTATCCAATAATAATTTTTTTAAAAATAAGATAATCTAAATATTATTATCCAGATTAAAGGACGTACATATACAAAAGTCTCTGGAAATGGAATTTAATAAAAATAGTAAAATACAAAATTAACAAATAACTATAGTTGGAAAATTAAAGAAATATTTGAGAAAAATTTTAATGTTGCAATTATAGTCAATTTTTTATTGTTGTTAATTATACTTTTTAAATTGTAATGAAATTTTTGTAACAAGAATTGAAAAAAAAAATTTAATTTTCTCGCGCTTCGCAAAATGAAAACTCTGTTGGTGAGTTTTACTTTGAACCGTATTCTGCAATACTATATATCGATTGCAATAAAATAGATAAAGTTTCGAAAAAGGAAGCTCTTGCCAGTATAAAACTGATTCTCACTTTACTTCAATAATAATAAAAGTTTTTTTACGTCATGGCCCTGCAATTTCTAATTTATCGTCAATCGGTGAAATTATGGTACAAAATTTGCAATTTTATTTTCTTCTATGTTTAATAAAAATATTACGAGGTGGAAAAAAACCACTCTCCTTATAATACTTGGTAATATAAATGTAATAATGTAATATAATTTTTTTTAAACATTTTTTCATAACCTGAAATCATATTCTGCTATAAAAAAATTAAAAAACAATTTTTGACTATTTTACATTATTTTTTTTATTTTTGGCAAAAGTTGAAATTTTTCAAAATCATTAAAATTAATATCAGAATTATAAAAAGAAAAAAGAAAAAATTGTCAATGAAAAATAGAATAATTTCATAGTATTTCGTTTCGTATCCTTCTGAAGATAGCACACAGAAAAAACTTGGACAAACTTCATGTTACTCAAAATGATCCTTCTTGGAATTTCAGATTTCTAGGTTGGCATCACTTCCCAAGAAGCACGTAATATAACCTCAATATCAAGGTAATATTACATGTAAGATTCGTAATATAACGTTGTAATATTACAGTAATCTTACAGTGATCTTACACCGAAAAAAAAATCCTCTTGTTTCAAGAGGATTCCTCTTATTTCAATGCATATTTTCCTCTAGTATATGCTGCAAAAGGATGTCCTCTAGGTTTAAGAGGATTGTCCTCTATGTAAAATTATTTCTCTTAATTTAAGAGGATACTCTTATTTTAAGAGGAAAATATCATCTTAAAAAGAATTCTGAAATAATAAAAATGCAATCATCTAATTTGTATGTCATAGATATAATCTATAAAATTAAAAGGAATAAAATTTGTTATTCCATGATTTACATCTATTTGAGTATAAATAAATTGAAATTGATTTTAATTTTTTGGAATAAATCAACTAAATCTATTTTTAATAATATTTTTATGCAAAAAACAAATAATTCATTAAATTTGAAAATTTATTTTAAATAAATTTTCAAATAAAATGAAACTAAATAAAAATCGTAATAAAATAAATTTTTAAATAGCATAACCTCAAAATTATTTAAATTTTCTTAAAAATTACTTTAAAAAATTTCTTTTACCTTCAAAAATAGGCACGTATTGTGTAAGTTGCAACTCTATCAAGATATTTAAAAGTTTATTATCCATTTTGGTTTATTCACATTTTTTCACACAGAAACTAAAACTTTTTCACGCATGATATGCGATTTATGACGCGACGTAAATGATATGACGCAATCATATTTGCGCATGAGCGACTTTCAATGGGAAATCCTCTTAGAATTTAGAGGAATATTCTTAAACATAGAAGATTATTCTAAATTCTAAGAGCATTATTTTTATTCTAAAAAGATTATTCTGAATATAAGAGGAATGCTCTAGAATAGTCCTTTTGTTTCGATCCTCTTGAAATTAGAGGAAAATATTCTCATTTAAAGAGTAATACTCTTGTTTTAAGAATAAAATTCAAGAGGATTCTGTAAGAGGAATTTTCCTCTGAATACAAGAATATTTTTTTTTCGGTGTAAAATGTCCGCCTCAAGGTAATATTACCGGTAATGTTACTGTAATATTACGCGCTAATATTAAGGTAATATTACAGTAATATTGCAGTAATATTATACCGTAATATTAAGGTAATATTACAAGAGAATATTACAGTAATATTATGGGAACTTTTCTTTACGAAAAAAATCTACCCATCCAGGGAATCGAACCCCGAACTCAAAGCACACGAGTCCAGAGTTTTACCAACAAGCCAAATTGACTTATAATATATTTACGTTTTTTATGCTTTATGAATAACCCAAATCAGTCTGTAATATTACTGTAATATTACCGTTAATATTACTGTAATATTACCGTTAATATTACAGTAATATTCCCGGTAATATTACCTTGAGGCGGACATTTTAAGATCACTGTAAGATTACTGTAATATTACAGCGTTATATTACGAATCTCACGTGTAATATTACCTTGATATTGAGGATATATTACGTGCTTCTTGGGTTGCAGAGTAATATTTTATTTATTTATTATTTATTAACTGGATATTATAAATATTACAATTATTTTTTCTAATATTTCAACAATACTAGAAAGATTATTTTTAACAGGTACGAATAGTACGAATTTCAATCAAATATAAAAATAAGTTTATCATGTTATTTACGTCTGGTAATTATTATATTTTTTCGCCATTGACATGAAAAAGTGTCTTTTTTGTGCCTGTTTTGGGCAGATAAAGTAGCACTTTTTAAGGCAGTTTGGGCCAACTGCCTAAAAAAGACTTTTTTAGGCAGCAAACTGCCGTATAAAGTCTTTTTTAGGCAGTAAACTGCCCTATAAAGTCTTTTTTAGGCAGTTGTTAATTTTTGCATAATTTTTTTTTTTGCTTTTATTTTATTTATCAATTTTTATTATTTTTTTTCTTTAAAATTGTTTCACTTTTTCATAACAATGGCGAAAAAAATAGCGTATGTGGCTCGCACGTAGTAATTTTTAGGTTCGGATGATTTCAATACTCGCTGTCTGTGCGACTTCGGTTCGACTCGGCTCGCTTTCGGCTCGACTCGACTCGCCTTCGGCTCGTCTTCATCTCACCTACAGCTCGCCTTCGTCTCACCTACGTCGCACTAACGACAGCTCGTACTGAAAATTACATCCTCACCTAAAAAGTACTACTTTACGTGCTTGCCACATAATATACTATTCATGTATTTGTGCAAAATTATTTATTATTTCAGAACGGCAAACTTGCCGTGCAAGGTTGGCAATATTGCACTGCAAGGTTGCTGCAAGCTTACGTGCTATCTTGGAATATTTTTCCCTTTTTCTGATTCTCAAAATGAATCTTGCCTGATAGTGTTTTATTTTGATAGTTTAGAATTCAAAATGAGAAAACCAGTTTCACTTTTGATGCGTATCAATTTAAGTAGGTACGAAATTCATACTCACTTTGAATTCAGGTTTTTTCTGTGAGTGAAAGATTTAACTGAAATTTTTTTTATGATACCATTCAATGAAACCACAAATTACCCAAGTTTGAGCACAAAAAACTTTTTTTCATCTTTTATCACTTACTTGAAATCCCTCAAATAATATCAACCGGCTACGTTAATTTCAACTTGTTAAATCTTTGGCGATTTATTTATCATCGGCGGACAACTCGTTGCTGTGGACAATAATAATTTATCACCGCATATAGGTAGGCGAGTCGTCGGCACTACCTCTGGAGAAGTCGTAGGATTTGTCAGCATTATCTTTTGTGCGTATCTCAATTCTCTTTGACTGTCAGAAATAACATAAAACACACACACGCATTCATATATGTATATTAAAGTTAAAATTGTCTATATATACGAAAAATAGTGAGGAGAAAAAAATATCAACAACGGAAGTGCGCACGATACTATTGTTTCCATTTGGTCAGTCTCGTTAAAATACACATATCGATATATATACACACATATCAAATAAAATGCATATATAAAAAAAGCTCCGAACAAAAATTTCAATGGGTATTTGCCCTTTTCTGTAATACTCATTCGATTTCTTTTCCGTTTTTTTTTTTCAATATTTTATTTGCGATGCTTCTATATATTTTATCGATATGACATAGTCAAAAAAGTTTAACAATTTCTGGTAGTCTGAAATAATAAAACTAATTTATTGCTCATTCTTGTATTTTTTAAAAATATATAAAATCGAGCATCATATAGAATGAAATATACAAATCTGTATAAACATATATAAATTTTTGCTGAAAAATTATTAAAGCTTACTTTTTATTTAGTTATTGATTTAAGCAAAGGGACTGGTGAAATTTCAACATATATCAAAATTAATGTTGTTTAGAGATGTCAATTTTTTTCCCTGACATTATTTAGGATCAAAAAGTATTAAATATTGTTAAAATTTAAAAAAAAAAAATATTTTTGACCATTTTAGAAATTTTATTTTTTAAAAAAAATTAAAAATTTTCAAAATCTATACGATTTTATTGTTCAGAATCACGAAAAATAGGTGTAAAAAATTTGGTAAAGGATAAAAAATTTTTAAAATAAAATTCATGTCTTTCTTTAATTGAAAAAAGATTCAACTTTACAAATTCACTGGAATTTAAAAAAAAAATTGTATTCTTAAAAACTTATACTATTATTTTTGATAAAAAATGACATTTTTCAAAAATTTTGTGGTATTTTTTGGTGGAAAATTTTTAAAAATTAATAATAAAAAAATTACAAAAAGAAAACTGTGCGCGAAGCTGTTTAAAATTCGATTACAATATATTATATACATTATGACATTATTCCACAAAAGAGACTGTTATTATTTTTGTCGATTCCTTAAAAAGCGATTATAATTTGACTATGTGAAAAGAAAGTAAATAAGAAATTCTCCAATTGATGCGAATTATATATAAAAATAAAGTATGACCTCTTGTAATTTGCCTTCCTCTCATTTGGTCATAATGGGTGGTCCCATATATGCTCTCTGGGCAATATTTCGCAGTAAAGTGCGTGAACTTTTTCTCTCACTTTGCACAGGGCATGTACCCATATACTTATAATGTAAAAACGATTTGATTCCACTGTTAAATCATGTTCCATATATTTTCAGAAAAAAAAAATGATTTCACTATACATAACGAAATCTTTTTTTCTAGTCTTATTATTGTTTTGTTTTAATTTAATTTTTATTTTATTATTAATACTTTCTCCTGCAATGAAATTTATATAAATCTCTATAAAAAAAGAAATTGCAATATAGTAGCACATGGGAAAATATATTTATAGTCTCATTTAAATGGGATATTGGATTTCAATTTTCTTTTTTCCCCTAAACATGAAAAAAAGGAGATGTGGTGAGAGGGTTTTTAACAAGTGTAAAAACACACGTGTGTAAATTATGTTCACACTCTGTGGCAGGTCAGTAGGTCAGATTCTACAACAAGACTTTAAGACTGTATATGCCGAGCATAAATTCACCACATGCGTTTACACATATTTCAAGATAAGAGGATTACACTATGGGCGAATTAAATCCAGGAGAGGACCTTTTAGAACGGATTACATTAATCATACATTTTATTATTTTAAAAGTTTCTTTCCAATTTCAAGGTTAAATATTTCTTTTCACTACTGTCTTCTTTATCATCTTCTCTTCTCGTTGTTCTTAATTTTTTTTCTTCTTTTTCACACGGAAAAAATGTTAATGACTAAACTTGAAATAAATTTTATTTCAGAGAAATAGAAATACATCTAAAATCAGAAATGCTGCAATAAGTTTGTGCTTAATTTTGTGAAATTTTATATATCAAAAGACGCTATATGCTCACATCTCTAATTTGTAAATGTCTTTTTTTGTTCATCTATGATTTTCTTCTTTTTATGACTTCATTCCAAAAAAAATTAATATCAAAACGTTTTTTAAACAAAAATAAATACTATATAATAAAAATAGAAATGTATAAGAAATTTAAGAAATATTAAAAATCAAAATTCTACTGTTATTGCGGTTTTTTCTTTGAGAACTCGTTTTCTCTATATGCTATGAGTACCTATATATATTTACATATCACAAAAAAATGCATCGCGTTGACATTAATTCCAACAAAATGTTAGTTCAGAGCTTAAAATGTAAACTAGAGATAAAAAGAATGCACTTTTTTTAAAAAGAAAAAAGAAATGCGAGACTCGTTACCCAGGCGAGATGATGGCACTGCACAGTGAATGAAAGAAAAGATCCATTCCATGAACCAGCTTTGGGTCTCGAAAGCAGCAAGCACTTAACCTTAATGATTCTTTGCATAGTTATAGACAAATAGAGCAATTTTTTTTTAAATACCGGAAGATACATTTGCAATGAGTATTTTTCCTCTCCTTTTCTTTTATTATTATATTCCTATCTTTTCACTATACTTTTTTTCAACTGTATTTAAATATACTTTACGTTATTTACTGAAACAAATTTAAAATAAATACCAAAATTTATATATTAAATTTTTTTTTTATATTCAATAGGTATTAAATAATGTATTTTCAATAGACACAGTAGTTTTGTATAAAAATACAAAACATGTACTTGTATAAAAAATTTTCTTGATTGCTTGAGAAATTTGTGTATAGAATGCCTAAGATGAGTTATCATTTGAAATGAATCGTTTCTATTATAAATTTTCTCTTCTGTCAGGTAGTGGAAAGCTTTCCTCGTGTGCAAAATTTTTCATGGTCCTATATAGTAGTATCATCGAGTCTATTTAGTACCCTCAAAAGAGATATGAATTATAATCTAAAGAATGTGACGTTGTACATACATATATATTTAATGTGCAAGATTTTACAAAAGGAATGTTAATAATGGCTCTTAAGAGCACGTGACGTTTTCTCTAACCATTATTATATTGAGGTAAGAGACGCGTGGTTTCTACTTTATATATATACGCGCATATAGAAACCTTTATAGATAATAATAATTATTACATTGTTCATTGTATATCATATCCTAAAGATAAGCGCGTTTCAAAAATGTTACATCAATAATATTATATATATAGAGAGATTTAATAACTTTTTCACATTTACCCCAAGTTCTTTGCGATAAAAAAAAATATCTTGATAATAGTTTACATACACTAACACGGAGAATTTTCTAAGATAAACAAATTTTGAGATATAATTTAAAATATCGAATTGAGAAAGTTAGTTTGAACTTTTCCTTTTTAAAAAAAAGATCTTTTAAAAACAAAAATTTGTTCAGTGGAATAGACATAGAGTATTTGAAAGGAATGTCAGATAGGAGAAATATCCCGTGGGAGTAACAGTGACATCGAAGCGGCAGAAGTAGAGTGAGGTAGCATAAATAGTAAACTCACGTGTCAGACATGGAACTACTTGAAAAGAGTAGCTTGTTCCGTAATATATATATAGCTAGCGTTTCTCATTTTATTTCCAATCTTCTTTTTATAACAATGCACTACTTTTGATTACCTAGCTCACAAATTTTGTTTTACACTGTACGAAATTTCGCACGTACAAAATTTTATTTCTTCTTTTTACAAGTCTTAAAAATAAAATTCATTAAGATAGATAAATTTATATTAATTTTAATTTAATTTATCTTAAATTTAACATTTAATCATCTTTGATTTCAGGACCAAATGACAGTAGATCAAGAATTTTTTCACCAAGAATGGATTATGACGAATGGACACCATTGGGTCGAGGTGATCCTCTAAAAAATGATCCAACCTTCGATTATGTACCACCAGTTCTAGATCGTGTTCAATATTGGTTGGATTCACACACCACTGAACCATCGGCAAAACGCGATATTCTCATTTTGGGTGTAACTGCCAAAAAAACAAGTCCCAAACTTCCGGAACACTTTTTGAAATTTATCGACGCTCCGAAATTCAATCGAAACAAAGAGTCAATCTATCGAAATGACTTCACAGGTAGCACTGGCGCTGAACCACCAAAACTTATGCGCAACAATAATTTCCGAAATCCACCCATGGATTTTCGAAATCAAAACAAAATACAATCCATACCGGCCAGTTATTATCCAAGTCCATTTTACAATCAAAAATCAAAACCCTATACTGTCATGATGCCACCGCCGTTAAATCAAAAAATTCTAAACGAAGCACAAAATCCTTATGGAAATCATCTTAAAGACAAAATTATATTTGCTGAACAATTTAGTACACAAACTGAAGAAGGTCCTACATTACAAGACTACAATCATCCTCCAAAAACCTTCTCTCAAGGACAACCATTCAGATCAACATTTCCTCATGTTTCACCAGTTCCCCTTAAACCCAAACAACCAATGATAATTCCTCAAATTGAAAATATTTTCACCTCATCACAAATTCCCAATCGATTTGAGGCAACAACACCTTCGATATCTTTTGAAAAATCAAATCTCGTTTATCAATCAACTCAAACATTGTCCGGCGGATGGATTGGATCGAGTAGACCCACATCTTCAATTCCACCAGTGGAGGTGAATCAAATCACCTGGAAGACGCCCGATCGTTACGAAATCGATCATCATGGATCGGCATCCGTCAATCACGAAGTCGTTATTGGACAAAATGCCAACATAATCGTTGATGGTGACAACATTGACAATGAGGAAGTGGTTATTGGTCAAAAGGAGACAACTTCATCAAAAATTAGTACCCAAGAGGATTTTCTACCAACTCGTCCATCTAATATTGAATCCACAAAATCGGATACTGAATTTGTCAAACATTCCGAAATTACATCCACAAAGCAAATTGACAAACTTCCCTCGACTAACGAATCGACTAAATTCTCCAAAACCCATATTGTAGTTGCCAATTCGCCGTCCTCTGTTGATGTTGAAAATCGTAAGGTCTCTGTTGTTATGCCCACAAACTATAACAACAGAAAGCAAACTCCGAATTCCACAGAAGCCACCACTGTTGCGTTAAATCACCATAAACAACTCTCCACTAAACAAAATTCTCTACCTCCTAATCAGAATTCTCAAATTTCTACATTTGGACAAAATTCAAAGCCCTTTGTTTTTCAAACAATGTTTACTAATTCTCTGGGTCCAATTACAGGTTCAAGTACCAATTCCATGGGTCAGACAAATTTTGTCTTACAGAAGACAAAAGTACAAGATAAAAAAAGTCAGGACAACGATTATCGAGAAACATCAATGATTGTAAGTTCTCCAGAATCGATAAACATGGATTTTATTTCACAACCAAGTATGGAGAGACCGGCACAAGTATCAAAACCACAACCCTTTAGAAACAGTATTAGTTCACCGATGATGCCACTCTTCATCGACACCCAAACAGTTCATCCTCCAAATCTCCCACCATCAAAAAGAATGCCCCCAACTCGACACACACCATTCAAAAATTCTTTCGGAGAATCCATAAATCATCAACAACCACGACCCATAATAATGATGCATCGTTTCAGACCATCACAACCACAACCACCAAAAATTCCAATGATGCCCGAACACATCAAACATCAGGATCAAAATCAAAAACATCCGAATTTTATGAATCAAGATTTTGTCAAACAATATCACAAGAATCAAGATTTTCATCATCAAAATCAATTTATCAGTCCCCTTGCAATTTCAACTCCAACACTACAGATGACTCCTAATAAAGATTTAACAACAATGCCGTCGCCAATTTTCACGCCAACAACACATGGACCCTTTGATGATGATAATTTTAGAAATCAATCGCCGCTAATACAATTGTTAAACAATGAAGAGATACAAAATATGGAAATTGGATCATCTACTGTGAATGATCAAACGGTGTCTTCATTGCAAACCACAACTGTTCCAAGTCTAACTACTGATCCACTATTTTCACATTATAAACAACCGGCAAAACCAATTCGTGGTCCAATGTATCTCATCATTCAAGGTCACTCCAAAGTGAAAACATACAAGCCAACAGTGAATAAATATGGATTTCCTGTTGCAAATGAGATTTTTGATACTACCACCAAACGAATACAAACGAAATATGAGAAATTGATTAATAATAACAATAAAGCAACAATTCGTGATATTGGTGGAATGAAGAAGAAAATTGATGAGCGATCAGAAATTCGTGGTGGTACGAAAAATTTATTAAGTTTCATTGAAAATGGACTTAGTGCTTTTACGGTATTTCCACCGCCAGCAACTGAGGAAGAACGACAGGCTAATTCCGTGACAACTATAGAAATTAATGGTAATTAGAAATATTAGTTATTTTACGAAAAAAAAAATTGTTATGATTCATAAATAATAGAATGATTTAATTTTTAAATCTTGAATCTCCGAAGAGATTCTGATATTGCCAAAAAAAAAACAACTGAGAGTGTACATGACACGTAGGTAATTTAGATTTGACTACGCGTTTACATCGAAATACTTACCGACACTATTTTTCATGTCGGTAATATAGAAATCTAAATTTTTTTTTGACAAATCGAGAAAAAATGAGTTGAGGCATTTTGTTCCAACAATAAGTAATTGAATTCTACAAAAATACTCAAAATATTATTTATAATTTTCGAGATTTCATGTAGAAAAAAATGGAAATTAACAGTTACTGATCAAATTTTTTAAACATTTCCAATCAAAGTCAAAATATCACTTATAATTTTCGAGATTTCATGTAAAAAACGAGTAACAGGTTGTCAAATCTAATAAAAAAAATCATCTAAAATAACATTACAATAAAAAAAGTAATATTTCAATTTTGTCTTAATATTTTTTGATTTTAATAAAAATACGAATCGAGTACTCGATAAAATTTCATACTACTTGTAAAATTAATTTAAAAAAATATATATTTTAAATTGGAATAAAAAACAATTTTCCATACTATTAATTAATTATTATTGTCAATTTTAAAAAAAGGACAAATAACCAAATATTAGTTTTTCAAAATTTATTTATAAAATTAAAAAAATTTCGTAACAGTAAAAAAATTTTATATTTTTTTTTTTGCTATAATGTATTACTATATTTAATAAGATAATTAAATCTCAAAATATCTGCCAAGTCTTAGAATAGGAGTAATTTGTTCTTCATTTCTTTTTATATCGATACATTGTAAAATAATGTAAATTACTTTTTTCTATACAATTTTTGTTAATTATTTTTAATATGTTTATATACGTTTATATTTATTATTCTTATCAATATCATGTTAAATATTGTAGAATTTTGTTAATTTCTTTCATTTTAACTGTTTTTGTAATTATTATATCTAATATTAATGACATTATTTTTTTTTATAAAATGTTACATTTATTACTTATTTTTTTATTTCGTTTTTTTTTAATTTTACAATTAAAAAAATAACAATTTTTTCTCAGTGCTATATATAGATATAAATTCAAGTGTGCCAGTAAAAATATAGAGCGCGAATGTCACAGGCAAAAAAAAATTCACCGAAAGAAATAAGATTAAATTTTTTTCTGAAATTATTTAATAATTTTATCAAACTTAAATAATTTTTTTTTGTGAATTTAACGAAAATTTTATATAAATTTCATGTATAAGAAATATTTTCTATTTCTAAAATTAAAAAAAAAAAATTATCTATTTGTATTAGTACGAATGAATTTTGTGAAAGTATGATTTGACTTGATTTTTGTTTAATATTAATAATAATATGATTATTATGAATTAGAATATATGAACTCTCAGTATAAACAATACTGTCCGGACTAGCGTAGCACTTATAATTAATTTTAAGCATATCATTTCTATGTGATTTTTTCAGTGTGCCAAGAATTTATTTTTTTTAGAATATACCAAAAATTCATTTTTACTAATAGAGAATCATTAAAAATCCATTTATTTATTTATTAATTCATTTATTTATTTAAAGAAAAATTATGATTTTTAAATGCGTCATTAATTATATTTAACATTTAAATTTATAAATAATTTATTTCAATATTAAAATAACGCATTATACATAAAAAAATTTTTAATTACAAATTTATTAAAAACTTGATTTTCTATTAGTTTAAAATGATTTAAATTGGAAATCAAATTTTACACTTTTTTTTGTATAAATCATGTAAACACATTTATGTAGGTATAAATAGTTTAGTTCAATATAAGTGTAATATTTTTAAACAAGTTCCGAGGAGTTAAACACCAAAGAATTTAGGATTCATATTTACTTTTATAAAATAAAAAAATTAATTTTTGTTTAATTTTCTCAATATTAGACTATTTTTTATTTTTAAATTTTTATTTTTATATTTTAAACATTTTCTCTGAAAAACATTTTTTTAATAAATATTTATTACGAAAATTCATTATTTATAATAATTTATGAAAATATAAAATTTTATAATTCAAAAAAAATTTTTTTTTACTTTATTGTTGAATTTATTTTCAAATCTACTTAAAAGTGGATATATAGCAAAAATAACCCCTCGGAATTCCGTTATTGTTTCATTATGTATCTATTAAAATTAATAAAAAATAAAATTAATTAAATAATATTATTTTATTTTTGATTAATTTTAAAAATATTTTACTTTTTGTTATATTTGTAAATTATCGTTTAAATGATTATTTTTGTTAATAGATGAGACGATTAACACTAGTCGTAATGTACCAGTTACCAAACATATTGTGTATTCCACTAACCACAATACGTATTACATATGGGCGATTCCACGTGAAATTTATCTATAACCTCTCACATTTTTAGAAAAAAAATTTTTTTTTGTTTTTTAAAAAAAAATAGTATATTTTTTTTATAAATGCCTTAATTTTTGAGTTATGAATTTTTAAAAATCTGTGTAAAAAAATTGAGAAATTTTTGCCAAGAGAAAAAAATTTTTTTGTTTTTCTTTGACTTTCGAAATATGTTAACAAAGAAATTTTGAATTTTTATATAAAAAATGTATTTATTTATTAATTAATAAACTCAAGGTACATTCTTTTTCGTACATATAAGAACTTATAAAAGTAATAAACGTATATAAATAATAATTGAAGTTAAGAAAAATACATAAAAACAAAAGGAAAAAAAAAATTTTTTTAAACATATTTAAACAAAAAGGAATCACTCTAAAGCTTTTTGCAAAAAATCTTCTTAATATTTCCAGTTATGTAAAAATAATAAAAAATTGGGTCCAACGTTAAAAAAAATTATTTTGTTTATAAAAAATATAACAATTTTTTATAAACAAATTTATTTCAAAATTTTTGTTTTCATGTCACTGAAAATTGATCTACTTTTAAAAAATCTTAAAAACGCTATATTTTTAAAAATTCGTAATTCGAAAATTTGGGGACTAATAAAAAGATAAAAAAAATTACAAACACTATTTTTTGTCTATAAAGAACGGAAAAAAATATATGTATCCGAATTTACAAGGTCATAGGTAAATTTCACGTGGAATCGTCCATTTACATTCCTAAGTAAATGTATTTCTATATATTTGCAATATTTGTATATTAGAACTTAAAAAGAAAAATCATCTTTAGCCCCTATAGACTGGGTTTATATATTACAATGAAATTATAGACTATATATATATATATATATACTTTTTATTATAATATCAAGATTAATCATAAGTAGCAAAACTAAATATAAATTTATATTATAAAATGTGTATTATTTTATACTTTATAAAAAAAATCGCATTTGTTAATTTTCCATATATATAAAAAAAAATTATTATTTATAAAAAATTTTTATTGTCTTTTTTATGTAAAATGTACGCGCATAGTAAATTTTATTTCTGATACTTTGTTTTCTTCTTTTGAAGAAAAGTTAAGTGTCTAAAGAATATAATAAAATTTTAAACCGATCGAATGAGTGAGATGACAACTTATGTATACATATAGTAATTATATATTAAATCATTGTAATTTTATAAATTATTATTGTTTCGATGTTTTCTACAATTTTTTATGTGTAATATATTTTTTGTACCTGATGGTCACATTCTTTTTGATTTTTCTATATATTTATATTAGTGAAGCAAATATAAATATCATGTATGACAAATTGTCTATTTTATTAATCCTGTACACCTTATAATATGTTCTGGTTTTATTTGGGATCTAAAATTATTGTGAATTATTAAAATTAAAAAAAAAAAAAAATTTATTGACTATTTTAGAAATTTAATTTTTTGAAAATATTAAAATTTTTAAAAATCCATACGATTGATTGTTCAGAATCACAAGAAAATTACCGATAAAAAATAATAAAAATTGTAGAAGAAGTTGAATTTTTAAGGAATAATTGATAAAATTTAAACCAAACATAATTAGTTTGGTTTAGGGGTAATACTTTTTTTTAGAAATTTTTTTAGAACCTGAAATCATATTTTACTATGAAAAAATGAAAAAAGTAATTTTTAACATACAATTTTTTTTTATTTTTCAGAAATTTTATTTTTTGAAAAAATTGAATTTTTTCTAAAATCAATAAGATTGATTGTTCAGAATCATGAAAAAAGTGTGTATAAAAAAATCAGCAATGAAAAATAATAAAAATTGCGACAGATGTTTAAATTTTGAGTTTTTGAAAATTTTGAGTTTTATTTTAAAAATTATTAATAAACAATTTCCCATAGTATATTAAATTTTAAAATAATGTTAATAATAATTATTAAAATTTATTTAGTTATTAATAAGAATATTAATTAAAACATTAAAATTTTTTGCATAGGATACTAGTTATTGTGTCTGAAATTTAGTGAAAAGAATTTTTTTTTATTTCATCAGAGCAAAATAATGTAAATTAATGCCTAACAGAAAAAAAGAAAAATCTCGAAAAGTTTTATAAAGCAGAGAATAAAGATTCAGGGAAAAAAACATATATACATAGCCATAATCTTCATAAATATGGAAAAAGAATTTTCCATTTTAATTAAAATCGTTAAAGTTGTGACAAAGTATATAAAAGTAAATGGGTGTATATACCCAGAAAGTTTAAAGAGTTATTCTCAGTTTGCAATATATAAAGTGACAGCTTGTTATCGAGAGTTATACTATGGACCAGGACATGTCTTTTTCAGTAAATGATACACGAAATACGATCGGATTTTATATGAATTGAGAGTTAAGGTAAAAATATCAATCGATTTATCGCCATTTTAATGGACGTTGATTTTGTTTTGCAAGTGATACTCATCGTCAGCGGGACCCTCCACAGAGTCACAAATCGAATTTTAGTCATCTTCATAAATATTTAACGCGTTCTACTTTGTAAAAAACACTCACATATATATATAAAAATATTATATATGAGTCATTCCATATTATTCGACTAAAGTGGTTGCGGACAATTTTTTCAAAAAATTCATACTTTCAAAAATGATTCTGTAAAATATCTGATGGAGTATACCTACGAAATAAAAAAGAATTATGTTAAAATTTCTAATATTTTTCTTAAAATATAAGTTTAAAGTACACTCAAAGAATGCACCAAATATTTTATTGTATTTGACTAAATTTTAATCTTAATCGAAACAAAAAGTTTGTACCTTAAAAGAAAAAAATTTGTTTCAAATAAATTCTTCTATCGAGCGTATTTGATTCAGTTGTACAATTTTTAAAATAAATTATTTTTTACAAAAATTTGTTGTTAAATAATAATTATTTCATTTTTTTTTATATATTTGGTTTAAAATTTAGTGAACAATTATAATTTTTATCCAATTTTTACAAATAATAGCTTATTTTGCTATTTAAAAGATTTTCTACAATTATGTTTGTTGAATTTTCTTAACAATATTCTGTTCAAAAGTTAATAAACAAATAAAATGTTTATTTTTTGAGTAAGAATTTCTGAAACGTGCCACCTAAAACTGAAAAAATTAATTTTTCTTATAGTATTTTATATGCACAATATCCCCCTAAAATGATTTTGCAAAAAAAAAATTTTTTGTTATCAACAATTTAATATTTTTTACCCTTTTTTTTAAAAAAGTTAATTTCAAAGAAATTTATTGATCGATTTTAGTGATGCAAACGGCATTCTTCTTGTCTTGAACCATAGTTTTATTGATATTTTTTTCTGCAAAATAATGATTTTTATTGCAAAAAAAAAAAATTGTTTATTTATAAGCAAATAGTAAAAAACCATGAAAACAATTGAATTTCAAAATGAAAAAAAAGCTTCATATACTTAAAACCCTTCTGAATTATATTTTTTAAACAAACGATTATTTACCAAAAACACAACATCAAAATTGTAGAGAATTTTTCAATGAGAAATATTAGACATTGTTTTTAACTTTTAAGAAAAAAACACAAAATGTTAATTATTATTTAACAAATTTTAACTCAAAATAATTTTTTCTGAAAATTGTACTTTCGGATTTTGGCGAAATCAATTTTAAATATATTTTTAGTTCTGTTAAAAATTACTTTTTAGTATCTTCATTGATATTATGTCCCAATTAATAATAAATTATAATTTCGTTTAAAATTTTGGCAATTTTTTTTAGGACAGGAAAGATATATCAAAAAACAACTTTAACGTTTCTTTCCTGTCCTAAAAAATTGCCAAAAATTTAAACAAAATTATAATTTACTTTTTATAGTAATTCTTGACCTTTTTTTTTATTTTAATTTTTAATATATAAAAAATAGTAAGATAAAAATAGGCAGTTGCTTAAAAATCTTTCTAAAAGGATCAATTAATTCTTCCTTCAAAATTAAAATTCATAAAGTTTTGTCGTACTCTTATTGAAATTGTTTTTATTTTCTTTTTGTAGTTAAAATTTAGTTTTCCTATAGCAATTTCTTTTTTGCAACAGCTTTTTCTTTTACTGAAACTTATTTTTTTTCTTTTTGTAATTACTTTCCTGCAACAACTTTTTCTTCTTTTATTTTATTTTTGTTTTCTTTTGAAAGTTGAAGTTTTAACCATCAGTCATTGCAAAAGTCCCAATTGCAAGCAGTTTTTCTTTATACAATATTGATTGCAGTAGTTTATTTTTTTTTCTTAACAGGCAAATATTTTGTAGACATAACAAAATCATCGGTAAAACTCTTTGATATTATCTATTTTGTAAATTTTTACAAAAATTGATGATTTTTTTAAATGTTTCAAAATATGTCAGTATAGTTTTTGTAGAATATCAATCCATTAGTTTACAATTTTTTTTTATAAAATAATATCCTATTTAACACTTTTTATTTTCATTATATAAAGAACATTTTCTTATGGAATTTCTATTTCTTTTTCAATTGTTCCGATAATAATGTATTTATAGAAACGACTTTCTTGAATTTTTCTTTCTTTTTTTGCAATTAATTATAAAAATGCGCAACTTAATTATCTTCTTTATAAATAACAAGTCTTGGAACCAGTCAGATGTAATTATTATTTCCTCACTCCCATTGCTTGTGAGAGATAACATAATCGATTTTCACCTCTCCGACAAATACAAGACCAATCTAATCCTGTTGCATGTACATCTGAGCATTATATTCCTGTATCCGGAAGTAACAAATGGTTGTAATATACGTTTAGCAGTATAACAAGATACAAGATAGAAATTATATATACATCCACCTGCGACGAATTTACACACCTGGGTTTCACCGTCTCTGATTTGATGTTATTATGGTCTCTTTAGGTCAATGCTCCATTCAGATCGAAAGTCACGATTTATCGAATATACTTATTTAACATGTCTTTAAGTATATTTATAAATATACAAGATGAAATTTTTTTAATTCAAATCACTATAATATTTAGGTATTTATTTACATTGGCATTGACTTTCATTAATTTGCCACTATAAATCTTAATAAATTACCTGCACTTCTATAATTCTATATTATGAGCAATTCTACTTATGACCTTTTAAATTCGGATAAATATATTTTTTTTCATTCTTAACAGAAAAAAAATAGTCGTCGTATCTTTATTTTATTATTTTTTTTATAAGTGCCCAAACTTTCGAGTTATAAATTTTTAAAAATCTGGTATTTTTCGAGGTTTTTGAATTTTTATATAAAAAATTACAATTTTTTTTATCAATAAATTCATTTACTTTAACTTTGGACCAGAACTTTTGTACATTTTTTTTACATACCTGAAAGTAATAAGAAAATTTTATTATGATTTTCGTAATCAGCTCATCAAAATACATTAATGTACCTTGTATAAAAAAACCAGAAATTTAAAAAAAATTCAAAATTCCGAAAAAATATTGAGAAAAAATCAAAAAGAAAAAAAAAAATTTTTAATTAAAATTTAAAAAAAAATTAAATTAAAATTAAAAAAAAAAGTATTAAACAAATTTAAAAATTTTTGTAAATTAAATTTAAAATTTCAATTAAAAAAAAATATTAAAAATTAAAATGTAAAAAAAAATTTTAATTTTTGATAAAAGAAATTGAAGAATACATACAGTTTTAAACATAAATTTAAAATTTTTAAATTATAAAAAATACCTAAATTATTTTTTTTTTAATTTTTTGCACCGAATTTTTTGAAAAAATCACGTAAAAACACAAAAAAAAATTTTTAATTGATGCATTTTTAAAGAAATCATGAAGATTCAAAAATAAAAAATCATTAAAATTCTGAAAATTCATTTCTCGTAAACAGCTTAAAAATTTTTTTTTAAAGAATCATGAAAACTTCTCTCAATTAGTATTAAAAGAAAAAAAAAGTTTAAAAAAATTCGGAGATGTAAATGCAAAATGGCGTCTGATTTGGTGTAGAATACCTCATATGCATAATTAATAAATTGTGTCTATTAGCAATCGTGTCTATTGAGACGGTTAATCACTTCTAAATTTTATTTATTCTAACGAAAAATTTCTTTTTTTAAATAATGTTTCATTTTTTTTTAAGTTTCTGAAGAGGATGGCTGTGTCATTGAAACGTAAAGAATAGTGTTTTATTTAATCCTTGACTCGGAATGATCGATATCATCTTCTTATATTATTAAATACTACCGAGTGATAGAATCAAAAATTTTATTAATAAATTTAAAATTTACAAAATGAAAAAAATCAAATTAAAAAAAAATTTTTTTTTAAAGAAATGTTAAAATGAAAAGCACATTTTTATATAACACAAAAGGGTAAAGGGATTGAAATTAAGAGTATAAATTTATAGTTGAATTTAATTTCAATGACAGTAGCATAAATTTTTGATGTAAAAAAAAGTTGAATTGGTCAACTTGAGAGGGAGGGGAAAAAAACTTTATTCTGCGAGTTCAATTATAGCGTATCTTTAAAGTTCCTTCCCGATTCCTTTTACTTTTCTCTTCTTTCATCATTCGTTTTATCTATATTTTTTCTATTGTTTTTTTTTCTTTTTTTGGTATTTATAAAACTTGCTTAAAAGAAATTTATAATAGACTTAACTTTATTTTTCCATTTAAAGAAAATATAAGAAGTTACAGAGATAATTATTATTTTGCGCAAAAAATAAATTTATAAAAATAACTTCTGCAAATAAAAAAGAAAATATTAATTTCGCTCAATAATTACATCTTAAATTCAGAGTCCATGTATTTTACATAAGTCTGTCCTTGTCGACTCTATTATTATTGTACATTGATAAAACGATATTTTTAGTTCGTTCAACCTTATTATGTTTAATTTAATAATACATTTTTGTTGATAAAATATATTTCACTTTTTTTTTTAATTCAAAGTTAGTGTATTCTTGATATGCAGTTAAATATGAAAAATAATTCTATGGTTGATCTAGTACATTATTATTATATTTGTAATATATTATATACACGAGAAATAATTTTTTAGGTTAAAAATCATGTCAAAAACTTGTTGACAAATAAAAAAATTAGTGGAACTTCCGAATTGTGACACTTTGCAGGGAATGGTAGCTTTTCTTTAGTGACAAGGCGGGGAACTAGAACATCAGAGAAAAGCAGGGTGAAACCGGTGTCAAAACTCAAAACTATAAAGATATGGCATATTTCGGACGTTCTACTGAAATTCTAGTGGAAATTTATTCTTGTCATTCAGACAAATAATATTTTTAAATGAAAGTGAAAGCTATTTTCCATATATTAAAATAAAATTTACAAACACAAAAAATAAAGTAAAATGAATGAAGATAAAAGTCGATTACAATGAATAGGGACTTAAAAGTATGTATACAATAATAATCAAAATGAAAAACAAAAATCAATATGTCAGCCGAGAGAAAGATGATTCTGACGACTCTTTAATCGTTTTTCGTTGGTGGATCACGATTGGGAGTAGAAGTCACGATTTTGGTAAGCTGTCATGTGGAGAAGGGATCCGTGTTAAAGGTTACGACCGACTTTGAAACGAAAAGTAAACGCCGCGAAGGTGTTTATACCGTTATATGTACCTGTCCCTTGCGTGGGTTTAGTTTATAGAAAAATCCTATATATATATATTTGATAAGTGTGAGAAAAAATGACGCTGCAAGTTCACACTAAAAATGCGCATGGAGAGCCCTGAAATTTGTACAAATAATGCAACAAAAGGTTTCACCAATGTTATGATTATATTATTCTAATTGTATTGGCGTTAACTTGACAGCTACTTGATTTTTTAACGAAATCATTATTGAACCCTTCACAAGGCAAATACAATTTAAACATGCCGGCAAAGAAGAAATTTTCTTAAAACAATTTTTGAATATTAGGGTTAAGCAATAGCCATAAAAATAGAAAATATTTCTTTGATTTAAAGAAATAAATTTCTTTGACTTGTTTTCTTTTATTCAAAATAAAATTTTCTTTGAAACAAAAAAAGCTTCTTAGCTTCAAAGATATTTGTGCATTAAATCAAAGAAATTCTAACATTGATATAGGACCTCCATGAAGTTGACGTCAACGCTCAGCGTCAAAAATTATTTTTCATGGGACCAAAAATATCAAAACATTTTTTAAAAAGGTTTTGGTTTTTCGGCGCTGAGCGTCGAAGCCAACTTCAGGGAGGTGATATAGGGTTAAAAAAAATATATTTGAATTAGGTTGTTCAAGTTGGGTGGGAGGAAATCCAAAATGGCGATTAAGCGGTGCACAAACAAACATAAGAAATGTACGGGATATGAAGTCGAAATTTTTTAATATCTCGCTTAAATGAAATTTTGGAACCTAAGTGTATTAGGATTTTAGTTTCTATTTTTAATGACCTATTTAATGCAATAATAAAATTTATTAAAAAAATAAAATCGTTTTTTATTATTGTATTAAATAGGTCATTAAAAATAGAAACTAAAATCCTAATACACTTAGGTTCTAAAATTTCATTTAAGAGAGATATTAAAAAAATTCAACTTCATCCCGTACATTTCTTATGTTTGTTTGTGCACCGCTTCATCGTTATTTTGGATTTCCCCTACCCAACTTGAACAACCTAATTAAATAAAAAATTTCTTTGAAACGAAGATAATTTTTTTTAAATCAAAGATAATTTGTTTGAAACAAATAAATTTTCTTTGTATAAAAGAAAAATTAATCAATGAAGTTAAAAAAATAAAGAGATATAAAAAGAATTTTTTTTTTTTGAAAATGTATAGATAATTTACCGAAAAACATTATCTAAAAATGTTAATTTTTAAGTTTCTCCTCTATTGGTACTCCGGACGCACGTGTTATTATAGAATCGACCACACGCTAAATCCAGTAAATGTTACCTATATATTTATTTCTAGGTGATTGTGTAAAAAGTTGTCTATCCAAATGCGCTAATCGAATGCGTTCGTTGTGTCCTGTTATCGCCTTTGACGTTTTTCTCCTATCATCAATTTCACCAAACTTTAATTCAGTATCAATAACATTTTAAAGAGATAATATATATAATATACGTTATATTAAAAATGTATTAAAATGTATTATTTAATTAATTCAATTAAAAATTGTAATTTTAATGTAACTAATAAAAAAAATATATAATTAAATAATTAAATAAAAGAAAAAAAATTATAGATTACCTATATAATATAAAGTTGATGTATAATTTTTTTCTTTGCTTTAAGGAGATTCAACCCGTTAACATAACCTCAAACTAAAAAATAATTTTTAACAGAACTAAAAATAATTATATTTAAAATTTATTACACCCAAATTCGACAGATCCAATTGTACAATTTTGGAAAAAATTTATTTTGAGTTAAAATTTGTTTTTAAATAATAATTAATAAAAATTTTGTATTTTTTCTTAAAAGTTAATAAACAATTGTAATTTTTATGCACATTTTGCTCTTTGAAAGTTTTTCTACAATTCTGCGCTTGTTGAATTTTATTGAAAATATTTTGTTCAAAAGTTAATAAACAAATAAAATATTTATTTTTTATATTTTTTAAACAAACTATAATTTAACAAAAAACACAAAATCAGATTGTAGAGAATCATTCAAAGAGAAAAATAAGCCATTGTTTATAAAAATTGGATAAAAATTAGAATTGTTCACTAATTTTTAAGAAAAAATACAAAATGTTTATTAATTATTATTTAACAACAAATTTTAACTCTAAATAAATTTTTTCCAAAATTGTACAATTGGATCTGTCGAATTTGGGTGTAATAAATTTTAAATATATTTTTAGTTCTGTTAAAAATTACTTTTTAGTTTGTGGTTTTCGGAGTTAAGCCCTTTTCGAAATTCACGATTAAAAAAACTGACAAAATAACTTAAATATTTTTACATTTCTTTACATCAAATAATAGTTTATAATATGATTATATTTTATTATGAAAATTATAAAATAAACTCGAATTTTTAATAATTCAAAAATGTTATTCCAATGTTATATTTAGTCATTTTTATTGATGTTATCGACATACATTGTTTAATAAACATAAAAAAATTTTTATAATACAATATAAGAATTGATAATTTTTTCTTTCAAATTTTATATGAAATTAATAAAACATTTCCGAATGAAATATGCAGAATTTGAAAAATTTTGAAATTAGAAATGATTAGACTGAATTAAAAATTCATTTCTTTTTTTTATTTCCTTAAAGCATATAATAGTAATTTTAAAGGAGTTTGAGGAATTCATTAAATATCATTAAAATTCAAATGTATTTCAGAGATTATAAAATATATTAAGAATTGAGATCCACTATTGAACACTCAGAGAAAAGTTGCTTTGAACCAAATATATCTACCATTTTTTTGTATTATTCATTCAGAAATAAATTAATTGTTTAAAACAACCAAAAAATTGTGTTAATACAAAAAAATTATATGTTTGATTCGATTTAATTTGTTTAACTTAAATAAATATATTTATTTGATCCAAATAAACGTTTAATTTATTTCAATAAATTTTATACATTTATTTCATTGATTTAATCAAAATTTGGTTGTTTCAAACAAATTTTTTTCTAAGTGAATAGAGTAAAAAATTTTTTTTCAATTTTGTCTTTTATTAAACTCGAAATTTTTTCATTGAAATCAGAGACAGGAACAAAAAATATTTTGAATATTTACGAATAAAGAGGGGGGGGGAGTCGTTTTGAAATAGAATGCCCCATATATATATAAAAAATGAAAAAGATAAGAAATCTTAAATTATCATTCTACCACTGAGTATCTGTTCCTGGAAGTGGATAATAACGTGAAGATTTTTGCATGAAACGAGGCCGCAAGCCTTCCAGCTACTTTATAAAATGCTTGTTCAGATAAGCTATTTTTTGTGCCAAAATTTGCATCTTAGTTTTTATTACTAACCAATCAGTGTCATCGAGTTGCTTTTTATATACTTAAATTATTATTGAATGCACACACAATATGCGAAGATCAATATGCAATCTCTATCGGTAATAAATTTTACAATTTATACTCGCGCAACTTTTTCTCGGAATATAATGGCACGCGAGAGGAAAGTGTTTTTGATTTAAAACAACTTTATAAAAAAATATATTACAACAATAATTTATATATATATATATGTGCCATTCCAGGAGTTTTTTAGCACTTTTCGGAGTAACCTTTCCAAATTAAATGAAACATTTTTTTATTAATATTTATTAATATAAAGGTCCAAAAAAATCACTTTTTAAGTAAAAACAATTGTTTATTTAAAAAATACAACAATAAATAATGCAAAAAATTCACTTTTTTCCTGCAACTCCAAATAAATTGGTTTAAAGATCAAAATTTTCCTTATCTTTCAAGCTTTAATACCGCACAAGAAACATTGAGTCCGAGAAAATATTCAACTCACAATTTTTTAAACAATGTTTGTTTACTTTTTTGTATTTTATTTACTGTGAAACGTCTGCTAAAGCTGCGCGCGACGTTTGGAAGTTGTCGCTTTCCTTATTGAGCAGAAGCTCATTACACTAGCGTAGTAAAAAACATGTTGTGTGAAAAGTGAGGTTATGTTGTCATTAAACGAAACGTAAAAATTTCTGGTTATCACATTGAATGGTTTTTAATTATCTACTTTGCAGTAAAAAATCATAAAAAGCATTTTTGAAGGATGAAAAACCTCACTTTTCACACAACATGTTTTTTACTACGCTAGTGTAATGAGCTTCTGCTCAATAAGGAAAGCGACAACTTCCAAACGTCGCGCGCAGCTTTAGCAGACGTTTCACAGTAAATAAAATACAAAAAAGTAAACAAACATTGTTTAAAAAATTGTGAGTTGAATATTTTCTCGGACTCAATGTTTCTTGTGCGGTATTAAAGCTTGAAAGATAAGGAAAATTTTGATCTTTAAACCAATTTATTTGGAGTTGCAGGAAAAAAGTGAATTTTTTGCATTATTTATTGTTGTATTTTTTAAATAAACAATTGTTTTTACTTAAAAAGTGATTTTTTTGGACCTTTATATTAATAAATATTAATAAAAAAATGTTTCATTTAATTTGGAAAGGTTACTCCGAAAAGTGCTAAAAAACTCCTGGAATGGCACATATATATATCAAAATTTTTAGTACGAAGAGAATATAATTTTTCTCTTTGGGTCAAAAAAAAATTTATAATTTCATATCACCTAAAAAAAAATTGTAATTCGGATTCCTCTCAATTTGAGACCATTTTTCATTACAAAGCTGAAGTAAGCAACGTTTATGATAAACGATTTATAAAGAAATAATTTTTTAAAATGAAAAATTCTATAATTTTTTGCCTAAAAAATATTTTTTTATAATTTGTTGATTAATGAAAACTATACAAGAAATATTTTTTAGGCAGAAAATTATAGAATTTTTCATTTTAAAAAATTATTTCTTTAAAAATCGTTTATCATAAACGTTGCGTACCTCAACTTCATTTTTCATTTAAGGAAGTTCTCCCCCTCCAACGTCAGTCAAATCAATGCCCATTTAAGTTTTCATTTGTATCACGTAGTACTAGCTCAACGCTTGGCAACGTTGGATTATATTTCCCCCGTTCCGTTTCGTGTCGTCTGCTATTGTTTGATTTATTTTCGTTAAATGCGCTATCATGTCGGAAAATTTAGAAGAGACTGCAAAAAAAGGAGTAAAACGTTATTATTGGAAGGGAAAGATAGTAACCCAAAAAGTTTATGAAAATCGTTGTAGATTGCAAATTGCGGGAAAAAACCTTCGGAGTGTATATGGCACTAAAAATCTTCGAGCTAACCTCACAAATGATTCGCACTGTGAATTAGTGAATTATAAACCTGCTGAAGGCAGACGAATAGTTGATTTAAAAACAATGGCAGAACAACTCTATTGCAAAAAGTGTAAATCTGTTTTGTCATTAACAAACGTTGTTGATGAAAAACGATATGGTTTGGCGTCTGTTCTCAGTGTAAAATGTGACAAGTGCTTATTTTACACGCAAGTTTCAACAGATAAACAACATGTTGTATCCGGTCAAAATAAGCACAAACACTTTGATGTTAACACAAAAGTTGTTGTTGGTTAGTATAATCAATTATATTATCACTCTTTGCAATAAAATAAATCAAATAATATAAACATTTATTTCTAGGTACATTGAATGCAGGAATGGGAAACACTCATTTAAATAAAGTTCTGTCATCTGTAAACATTCCAGAATTCAGGTGGAATACTTTCAAGACACACGAGAAAGAAGTGGGGATCGAAGTTGAAAAAATGGCAAACGACAGTTGTTTAAAAGCTGCCAATGAAGAAAGGCAACAAACCTAAAAAATGAAAATTATGAAGAAGTGAAACGATTGTTGTAAGTTTGATTAATATTGCCAACAGCAAAAAGTACGCAATAAGAATCGTTGACTTTGTAGAAAGAAAAAATATTTTACCAAATGTTAGTTGTGAATTATCTAACACAACATATTTAAATTTATTTCATTATTGTTTTTTATATGTATTATTTAGAAGCAAAATATTTATTGCGTTTATATAAAATAATATAAAGTCATACTATGAATAAAAAATTACTGTGATTTAAAATATATGATTTCAAAACAAATATTACACGTTTTTCTTGCCCAACCAAAATTCATAATTAATTAAATTAATTTCATTTTTAATTTTAATTAAATCAATTTCATTATTAATTTTAGAATAGTTAAAAATTAAAATAAAAAATAAATTTAAATTATTTAAATTAAAATTAATAACTAATTTTTTCTTATTTTACAAAAATTTTAATTCTTTTTTACATTTTCATAAAATGTATATAAAAATTACAAAATTATTAAATTAATTTTGTGCGTATCATTTTTCAAAGTTTTCAATTATAAATTTATTAATTATTTAATATTTATTAATTATTAATAGAATTATTATTTTAAAAATCTTAATTTTTTATAAGCAAATTCAAATTATTATTCATTATTATGAATCTTTGAAGAATATACTATTATATGTATATACTACTTATATTACTTTCAAATTTCGCGCTTTTTCTATACCTAACCTACAAGACGCAAAGTTGCCAAGCGTTGTGCTAAGTAATTTCTGATTGTCAAAATACGGTGTTTTTTTTAGACAAAATAATTAATTGTGAGTCTCCTAAGCCAGGTCTGATCAATTTTATTAAAAGTAAGTGAACATTGACTATTAAACTTTATGTATATAAAGTTCCAGTAATATCTTTTCCTCAGATTTTTCACAATTTGAGATTTCAGACCAAAAAATTCAATTTCCCATAAGAACCCGTGTTAAATGTGAAAAGAGAAAATTATTTAAAATAAACCACAAATAATGGAACGATACAGCCAGTCAAGGTATTAAAATAAAAACTTCACAAAGTTTTTAACGTTTCGATGACCATGTGTGTCATCATCATCAGAATTTAATAAGATGTCAACAAAACTAAAAATAATACAATGTAAAAGCAAAAAATATAAAATACAAAGAATACAAAATACAAAAAATAAAATAAATAAAAAATAAAAAAATAAAATACCAAAAAAATAATACAAAAAAGCAAGAAATAAATTAAGAAATTAAAAGTTAAATAACAAAAAATAAAAAATAAATTATTTATAGAATATTTATAGAAAATTATTTATATCTTTTGTCAAAATCCACCTAGACCTCTAAAAATTTAACTACATCTTCTTTAAACCATTATCTATCAGTTTATCAAGTTTGATAATTAACTCTTCGTCATTTCTGTTTGCGAGAGAACTTCCTTAATGTATACTGTATCAGACAGATCTTTTTTCCATTTGAGAAGATCATAATTTTATTTTGAAAAAGAAAATATAATTTTTATATTTTTGTTGTGATTTTTGGAAAAGAGAAATATTATCAATATCGTGGGGTTTCATCCTTATATTATGAAAGTTTTTAGATAGAAATTTTTTTCAAAAATATTTAATGAATTTCTATTGAATATAAAAAATTTATTAATGCTTAATTTGGATTAGTGAATAAAATTTTTGAGACAGTAAAATCCTGTTGATGTGGCTACTACATATATATAATTATCTACTTTTCAACAAGAGAATGAACTATAATGAATACAGCTGTGACGAGTGAAATTCTAGAGAGTATAACATGCTCCGAAGATGCATGGTCAGACATATAATTAACTTTATTAAACGATCGTGAAAGCATATAGAAATGTTCACAAGTACAAGATCGACAGGTGGCAAACGTCTAAACTTCATTGATTTAAATTAATATCACCATTTTTTCCATGAAATTAATAATTTTCAATTAAAACATTTTTATACATTGCAAACTCATATATATATACTTGAAGTGAACAACCCCATCTTGGAATCCAAATATCCATCTTAATTTATTTTTCAATATTTAATTTTAAATACTATTTTATTAAAAATTCATTATAAACAAAAGAAAATAGCTGTGGATTTTATAGTAAATTTAATCTTGTTTTTGTTAATTAAATAATTTTTAATTAATTGATTTTAAAATTTTATTTTAATTTTTGACGTGAAAAATGTTAAAATTTAAAAGTCAATACCATGAGGTGAAACATGATTAAATTTACCATAAAATCCATACCTATTTTCCTTCGTTTAATGAATTTTTAATAAAATAGTAGTATTTAAAAATAAATATTGAAAAACAAACCAAATATTGTCATAGATTATTATATATCTTATAGCAGAAAACTTTAACGAAATTGAATTTCAATTTGTCAAAAGCAAAATTATGACATGATATTTTGATTTCTTGGAAAATATTTGAATGTGTTGGTGTTCAACAGAGAGTCAAAATATTAAGGTGGTATCTCCCCTTAAAAAATAAGTATCATTAATTTAGACAATTTTTATAATACAAGGTTTTGTTATAAAATTCAAGGAATTTCAAGGATAATTAATAATTAATTTCTGATAATGCAGAAAAATCTTTGCAAAAAAAAAAATTTTAATTAATAAGTAATTAGTAAAATTGTTAATATAACCTGAAAAACAAATGAATAATATCTATATGTTGTTAAAAATACATCAATTTTACTAACTGTCTCTGGTCTCAGCCAACATGGCCAACTTGTACTAAAAACTAAAGGCCAACGTAGTTTCGCAAACGAGATGCGTATGCGTTAGAAAAGGACAGAGATATATTTGTGTCCTTTCCTATCTCATAAACCACTTTCGCGAAGCTGTTGCTCTAGCCTTAAGGCTGCTTCTACAATAGCTAAATCGTATCGTCTTAGAGACGATGCGCGCGCATCTATTGCCAACTGCGACGCTTGTTTTTCACTAAACGGTCAATACGTCGAACAGACAAAATGTCAAATGGCAAGTTGTCAAATGGATAAAATGTCGAAAAGCCAATACGTCGAACTGACAAAATGTCGAAAAGCCATAACCTCGAAAAGACAAGACGTCGAACAGTCAATACATCGAACGGACAAAATATCGATAAGCCAAAACATCGAACAGCCAATACGTCGAACGGACAAAATGTCGAAAAATTTTATTGACTTAACTAGAATTATACTTGAGTCAATAAAATTTTTCGACATTTTGTCCGTTCGACGTATTGGCTATTCGATGTTTTGGCTTATCGATATTTTAACCGTTCGACGTATTGGCTGTTCGACGTCTTGGCTTTTCGAGGTTATGGCTTTTCGACATTTTGTCTGTTCGACGTATTGACCGTTCGGTGAAAAGCAAGCGTCTCTTGCCAACTGATGACAAAAAATTTATTTTACGTGTTCGCTACTATTTCTACAATTTCAGCTTGTAAATATTATTGAAATTATAAAAAAGAAATTTATGTCCTCCCAGGTAAAAGGTTTTTTTTTTAATTTTTAGTACATTGTGGCCAGATATGCCTATACTTTTTTATCCTTTTCTAACGCAAATATTGTCATGGCAACAAGTTTGTTAGAAGAGGACAAAAAAGTGTAGGCATTTTTGGCAAAGAGTTTACACGTGAAATAATTTTTTTTTTCGGCCAAAAGTCTTCAGGACGATGCAATTTAGTTATTGTAGAAGTAGCTATATAACAGCAAATTAAGCTCTGAATTTTCTTTCATTTCTTCAAATTGCCACTTGTATTAAGCAAATAAGTTTGTTTACATGGTTTGCATCATCCTAAAAATGCTTTTATTCCTCCGGTATATTGGTCAAGAAATCAGTTGTGTTGAATTTTCGCGGTCGTGTCACTTAATTTGATTGGATGTACTACAGTTTCCATTTCCACAGTTTTAAGGCCAACGCACAAATGGTTCGCGAACGACTTTAGCGAACCTATTGTGCGTTGACCTTTAATCTTTAAAAAAAAAAAGAAAAATGGAATTTATTGAACATCCAATCAAATTCAGCGATACGACTGTGAAAATTCAATCCAGACGATTGCTAGACCAAAATACTGGAGGTATAAAAGCACCTTTACATTGAATTACCAATACTCGGTTGGTAACGCTGGTACTCGGACAGTAATTAAATTTTATTAGCAAATTAGCATATGTACAAAAAAAATTTTCTCCCGTTCGTAATTTAACGTTTTTAAAAAATATGTAACAATGAAATTTTTAGTTAAAATTTTTCTTTTTATTATTTTCATTCTCGTAGTCATAGTTATTGCAACAAGTTCAAGAGACAGTTTCTATATTACAGATTCACTCTTAAGAATGTTGCTCAAAGAGCTCGCGCACTCACTATCTCTTTTCGTCTCTGTTTCTCAGACATTCATTCTGGTTTTCCCGCAGACCTTGCTCATAATATGTGCGAGACCTCATCCTCCTGTCATCGCAAGAATCGAAGGAAGTGTATAGGGAAATAAAAAAAAATCGAGGGATGTACATACACAACAAGGAGAATGAAAGAGGAAAAAGAGGGGGATCGGTATAAAGGAGCTCATTGCATTGGCTCTGGAAAGCGGACAAATTCCATTCCGGAAGGTAACACCTACGTCGTCATTGCTTCGTCTCTCATAGTGGTAGCTGGTTGCATTTCTACGGGCACAACAGTCCTCATTGACCAGTGAGGAAACTAGAAACTTGGCAAAAACTAACCCAATATCTTGCCTATACGCGTATATACCCCACCCCTTTCCATAAAGTTTAATACCAGGAATTCCCACTGATGATCATACCTTTCATCCTCACATTCTTTGTTCACATAAATTCTTACTAGGTGTTTAACTTTTATCATCAAAAATCATTCATTTACCTTTTTGGTATTTCATAATACAGCATTCTTCGAAATATAATTTAGAAAAACGATATATTATTGTGTTTTATTTTTAACCCTTGACTGTACTCTGAAAAGATTGCTATCGTAAGTCGAATAAATCGTAAGATTTAAGAATAAAAGAGAATGACAGAAATATCGCATCTGTCCTTTTCTATTTCATATAAAAGTTTAGGATTTCATCAGAGTTCGGAAGTTATGCATAATTTTAAGGTTTTCGACGTATCTTACATTTTCAACGTATTTTACGTAAACTACTGTAAACTTTCTATATAATATACAAGACTAAATATGCAGGCAAAAGTATTCGTTTAGACCTAACCTACAAACAAATAACAATAAGCGACATAAACAATTCTAAACAAAAAAAATATCTAGGACGGAAATGAATTTTCTAAAAATTAAAGATTCAAATGCGATCAAAACGTAGCAAAGTGTCAGTTTTGTGAAATCTTCTGCAATCGCCTGATTGGATTAAAAATGCGAACGTGCTGATGTCCCTCATTTGAATAGCATTGTGACGTCAGCACGTTCATGTTTTTTATAGTCAATGTAGAGTCAGCTTAAAGGTGCTATATGTACACTCGTGGTTATTGGGATCTGAAATACTGCGATACGCCATCTGGTGAGAGCCTTGTTGTGGTGGCCATGTTTTCATTCCGTGTTTCTCTAACATATACAAAAGAAAGAGATAAAAAACCAAGATGGTTGTCACAAGAAGGCTCAGGGGTGGGTCAGTTTCGCGTGATTTCTGATCCCAATTGATGGTTGGTTTCCATTGTCCCCACTCGCCATTTGTCATTCTCGTCAACTACCGCACCCTATTCTTGTAAAAATTTAGTAACTTTTAATTTTAACAATAAAGTCACTAAATTTTTACTAGAACAGGGTGCGGTAATTCTCGAAAATTATGACAAATGATGAGTGGGGACAATGAAAACATTAGGTAGCGAACTAAACTAATAACATACTTACGTAAAATACGTAACAAATTCAAGTAACATAAGGCCAAAACAGAACAGCTTCGCGAATGTCGATCGCGAATATGGTTCATGAGATATAAAAGGACAGAAATATATCTCTGTCCTTTTCTAACTCATGCTTCACGTTCGCGAACGACTTTCGCGAAGCTATTGTGCATTGGTCCTTACTTGATATATGTTACGTCACATCCTTGTTTTGGTCGAACGATTCGGTTGGTTTCTCTTTCTATTGTCACCACTTGCCAAAATACACATTCACCGTTTGTCACAATTCTCGTCAAATACCGCATCCTGCTCTAGTGAAAATTTAGTAACTTTATAGTAACGTTTAATTTTAACAATAAAGTCACTAAATTTTTACTAGAGCAGGGTGCGGTAGTTGACGAGAATTATGACAAATAGCGAGTGGGATGGAGCATTTACACCTTCGGCAAAACATTTTCTTCACTTTGCATTTTCCGAAATACATTTATTTGATTAGTTGTTCAAAATCTGATTCATTGTGGACAACCAATCAGGTAAGTGTATTTCGGAAAATACAAAGTAAAGAAAATTTTTTCCCGAAGGTGTAAATACTCCAACAGTCGAAACCAACCATTCGGAACGATGGATTTTCACGGTCAAGTCACTGAATTTGATTGGCTTTCCAATAACAAATTCAACTTCCAGTGTATCAATTTTTGTTGAATTAATGAAAATAGAATTTTTGTAGAACCAATTAAATTCTGTGACACAAACGTGAAAATTCACAATACCGAATCGATCGCCCAAAATACCGGAGGTATAAAAGCGCTCACAAATATAAGAAAATGAAAATCATAAACATAACCTATAATTTATATACGTTCATATTTTTTTTGTGATATGCGCAAAGTCTTATTGAAACCCTGATGGAACCGGATTAGAATTAGAGTAAAGTATATATTATATAGAAGAGGCGTGTGATGGCATTGCCAGACAAAGAAAACGATTGCGAGGATATCGCGGAGCTGTCTGAATGGTACGTGAGTTCCAGAAACACACTATTTCTTGCCGATTCCACGTAACGATCGCCGACTCTCTTATGTGTCCCTTGTCCGCTTCCTGTATACGTCCGTGAATTCCTCAAGATTTTTCTCAGCCGCGACATAAAAATACCGTTAATAATGCAAAAAAATATAAGTCAAGTGCGCTAGTATATATATATATATATATATATATATATATATATATATATAGGGAATCACAAGATATTGTGCATGTGATCTTGAAATACTTACCTTCAATATACAGCGCGAGACTGGCATTGAAACCCTTTCGCAATTGCGCGCGCGCGGCAGAAGATTCACTTCTTAAGAAAAAGAGAAACAAATCTCCGCAGGTAGCACAGCACACAGCTTCATTTTTTCTATAAACTGAGGGAAAAGTTTTATTTTAAATAACGTGTTTCTTTTCTATGATAAACACACTTATTTCATTGATGTTTTATAAAAAAAAATTTATTTCATTTTATTATACATATATTTTCATTTATTTATTTTGAATTTTGTCAAGAGATTTAAGGCTGTGTTGGAGATATGTCAAAAAATTGACAATTATTTTGTATCTACCGTCATTTGCAGCGCATTTTATAACAGAAGAACTGAATTTTAAATAATAAAATAGACCTAACTATCAGAGTTCTTAGTAATAAACAATCATATTTTTAATAAATAATTCAAACAGCTGAAATAGCGAGAACAGGCAAAAATCCCAAAATATGTATTGGGATCAGAAATCACGCGAAACTGACCCACCCCTGAGCCTTCTTGTGACAACCATCTTGGTTTTTTATCTCTTTCTTTTGTATATGTTAGAGAAACACGGAATGAAAACATGGCCACCACAACGAGGCTCTCACCAGATGGCGTATCGCAGTATTTCAGATCCCAATACAAAACAAAGTATACATATAATAGAGTTTCATATGTTCACAACCCTGGTAGGAAAAAGTTTCACATATTATACATTTCATATTTCAGCAGTTTTACTCATCGCAACTGTCAAAATATTGTTCACGGCATATTTCAGTTATGTTTGTATTATTTCTTAAAACTGTGATTGTTTGTTACTAAAAACTTTGATAACTGCAATTTGGGTCTACTCTATTATTCAAAATTCAATTTCCACTGTCGGTGAGTTTTTTACACACACAGTTACACGTATGTAAACATGGGAGAGTATATCAGCTAGACTTTACGGTTTATATTATTTTTAATTAATTTTTAGTATTTTGAGAAATTTTTTTTTAATATTGCTTCGTAACACTTTTACCGTTCATTTACAAAAAAGAACGAATGGATTGATCCATTTTTTATGCCAATTAATTGGCGGATTGAATGATGCGAATGCTCCACGAAATTGGCAGAGCATTCGTGGAACACGAGGTTGAAATTGAAATTTTGTCTCAAATATATAAAAAATAATGAAACATACAGTTAAATGATTAAAACAATCAGATTTATGTTTTTTGTGATGATTATTGTTAAATAGAAAATTTTTTCTCTATTTTTCATATTTGACATAACGAATAATAATCTTAATAGAAAAGTTCCCACACAGTATCTAGCGAATTTAATTTTTTGAAAATTTTTCCAAATTATTTTTGAGTGTAGCTCAGCATCCGCTGTACCAATCAAAAAGTGCGCCATACATTTTTTGTTCGTTACTTTTTGCTAAAGACTTTGGCGGTATTCCCGAACGATTATCTGGAAAATTTAATTTTTCAACAATTTTTCCAAAATGTTTTTTAGTGTAGCTCAGCATCCGCTGGACTAATCAAAAAGTGCACCATACATTTTTTGTTCAGAACTTTCTTCTAATCACTATGGCGTTATTCCCGAACGATTATTTCACAAATTTAATTTTTCTAAAATTTTTCCCACTTTTTTTGAGTGTAGCTCAGCATCCGCTGGACCAATCAAAAAGTGCGCTATACATTTTTTGTTCGAAACTTTTTCCCAATTTTATTGGCGGTATTCCGGAACGTTTATCTCGCAAATTTAATTTTTCTAATTTTTTTCCAAATTTGTTTTCTAGTGTAGCTCAGCATCCGCTGGACCAATCAAAAAGTGCGCCATACATTTTTCGTTCGCTACTTTTTGCTAAAGTCTTTGGCGGTATTCCCGAACGATGATCTAGAAAATTTAATTTGTCAACAATTTTTCCAAAATGTTTTTTATTGTAGCTCAGCATCTGCTTGACCAATCTAAAAGTGCGCCATACATTTTTTGTTCGAAACTTTTTCCCTATTTTATTGGCGGTATTCCGGATGGTATATCTCGCAAATTTAATTTTTCTATATTTTTTCCAAATTTGTTTTCTAGTGTAGCTCAGCATCCGCTGGACCAATCAAAAAGTGCCCCATACATTTCCTGTTCGGAACTTTTTGACTATTTTTTTGGGGGGTATTCCAGAACGATTATCTCACAAATTTAATTTTTCGAAAATTTTTCACACTTTTTGAGTGTAGCTCAGCATCCGCTGGACCAATTAAAAAGTGCGCTATACATTTTTTGTTCAGAACTTACTTCAAATCACTATAGCGGTATTCCCGAACGATTATCTAGGGAATTTAATTTTTTGAAAATTTTTCCAAATTATTTTTGAGTGTAGCTCAGCATCCGCTGGACCAATCTAAAACTGCGCCATACATTTTTTGTTCGAAACTTTTCCCTATTTTATTGGCGGTATTCCGGAACGTTTATCTCGCAAATTTAATTTTTCTAATTTTTTTCCAAATTTGTTTTCTAGTGTAGCTCAGCATCCGCTGGACCAATCAAAAAGTGCGCCATACATTTCCTGTTCGGAACTTTTTGACTATTTTTTTGGCGGTATTCCAGAACGATTATCTAACAAATTTAATTTTTCGAAAATTTTTCCCACTTTTTTTGAGTGTAGCTCAGCATACGCTGGACCAAACTAAAACTGCGCCATACATTTTTTGTTCGGAACTTTCTTCTAATCACTATGGCGGTATTACCGAACGATTATCTAGCGAATTTAATTTTTTGAAAACTTTTCCAAATTAT